TATGAGACGAGAGACGGGGTTAACGCGAGGCTGGAGGTCTGGAGACAAACCCTAGAGTCTAAAGGTTTCAAGTTGAGAAGGTCTAAAACGGAATACTTGGAGTGTAAGTTCAGTGACAAGACTCATGAAGCGGACGTGGATATGAAGCTTGATACCCAAAGTCATCCCGATGAGGGGTAGTTTCAAGTATTTCGGGTCTATAATCCAAGGTAAGGGGGAAACTGATGATGAGGTCTCCCGACGTATTGGTGCGGGGTGGATGAAATGGAGGCTCGCATCCAGTATTTTATGTGATAAGAAGGTGCCACCAAGATTTAAGGGTAAGTTCTACAGAGTGGTGGTTAGACCTACAATGTTATATGGGCTAAGTGTTGTCCAGTCAAGAACTCCCATGTTCAGAAGATGAAAGAAGCACAAATGAGGATGCCGAGATGGATGTGTGAGCATACCAGGAGAGATAAGATTATGAACGAAGTTATTCAGGACAAAGTAGGCATGGCCCCCGTAGAGGACAAGTGCGGGAGTTGAGGCTGAGATGGTTCGGGCACGTGCAGAGGAGTGCGGATGCTCCTGTTAGGAGGTGTGAGAGGCTGGCCGTGGCGAGCCTTAGAAGGGGTAGAGGTAGGCCGAAAAAGTATTGGGGAGAGGTGCTTAGGCAGGACATGGTGCTACTTCAGCTCACTGAGGACATGATCCAGGATAGAAGAGTGTGGAGGTCGAGGATTATGGTAGAAGGCTAGTAGGTAGTCGAGAATTCCCCGTTCTTTTTTAGTAGTATTAGTAGCTCTCTTGTTTTTTTCGTATTCTTTGACCTCTAGTATTTGCTTATTGTTTCGTTCGCTCCGTGTATTGTATTTTTCAGTTTGTTACTATGTGATGCTACTTTTTCTTTTACTTGTTGTTTTGTTGTTGCTGTTGTTGTTGTCTTTTTCTCCTTTTCCTTATCGTCTTTTGTCTCCCTATTCTTTCTTTCTTCTTCGTTTTCTTCCCTTCATTCTCTTTTCACTTTTTTTTGAGCCGAGGGTCTATCACAAATAACCTTTCTATCTTAGGTAGGGGTAAGGTCTGCATACACACTATCCTTTCCAGACCTCACTTGTAGGATTATACTTGATATGTTGTTGTTGTTGTTGTATTATGAAATGATACATAACAACCATCCAAACAAGCCGTTACACTGCAAATTGGTACCAGCTCTTTTGAGTTAAATTGAAGAGTGGTTCTCTCTTGTAGTTTATGTGATCCTTCTCACTTTTCAAAATTCAAAATTTTATGTAAATTTTCGCCAACATTTTGGAATATATATTTCATCATATTGGTGTGAGAAGAATTGCAACTTATAGTACTTTTTGTATAGTTTTTGAATATTCAAATTTTAACTTTAAAATACGAGCTAATCTTATCCAATTTACCTTCAAAAATTAGTCTCTGAAACCTTTTCACTTTTTGAGATTCGGACTATGTAAACTTTGGCCACATTTTGAAATACGTTTTTCATCATATTGAAATTGCAACTTATATTATTTTTCGTATAGTTTTGGAATATCTACATTTTAACTTTAAAATATCAAGATAATCTAATCCAATTTAGCTTCAACTATTAGTCAAATTAACTCCTGAAAAGCAAAAAGGTTCACATAAGAACTTGGTTTTTAAACAGAGGAATTCTTTGTGTCTATGCAGGCATAATGATTTATAGCTTGTTAGGCCAAGCTTCTCCAATCTTAGAAGCACTTTTTGGCCAAGATTTTGAAAGAAAAAAAAAAGTGCTTTTGAGAAGAAGCAGAAGCAGTTTTGGAGAGCTGAAAAAAGTAGCTTCTCTCAAAAGCACTTTTAAGAAAAATACACTTAGAAGCAATTTTTAAAAGTTTGGCCAAACACTAATTGTTGCTCAGAAATATTTTTCAAATTAATTAGTCAAACACAAACTGCTTCTCACTAAAAATACTTTTAAGAAAAATCACTTCTCAAAATAAATTGATTTTTACAGCTTGGCCAAACATACTATAAAGGGAGGTTCTTGAAAATGGGAAGGAATGGTAGGAATGGTCATCTCTTTTGTTATTCTACAATCTTTGGCTGATTTGTGGAACTTATATAAGTGAGAGCTTGTACAGGACATGGTAAATGTAAAATAAATTGCTATATAAGTCTTCCTCCTTCAAAACTAGTAACTATTAGATGGAGTTGGTCACACAATTTACCTAAGTGTGTTTCGAAAAAATAAATTGTTAATTATTCTTTTAAAAATTTCTTTTAGCTGTTGTCAGAGAAGCAAACTGAGCACACATTTTTAGAAATTCTGAAGTGAATATTTTTTGAAATACTTATTTGGCTCTCATATAAATTCCAAGATATTATCTTAAAATATTCATTCATCACGTCAAAAATTGTTAAATAGATTGAAGGAAAGGAATAAATATTCTAAACATTTCTCATTTAGGCATAAATCTGTCATAGTTTAATGCGTGCATCGTTGGTAATAGTAAAGAAAAATGTTAGTAACTGTCTAGGTTCATTAATTTATCTTGTGAGTTATCCTAAGTGTGTTTCGTCTGAGTCATCCTCAAAATATTCTTTAATTGTAGTTCAGTAATATATATATACACACACACACAATGACTTAACATATTGCACATTCTTGTATAGTGTGATATGCTGGGATTTGAATACGGATTTGTACCAAATGTCTGTTTGGCTGATCCTTAAGTTTGCCAGCAAGGTGGTTAAACACGGCTAACACACACAATTATTGGTCCTTAATTTAATCAATGTTTAATCTCACTTATATTGCAAAAAGATGATACAAATAATTTCAACAAACAACAGGGTAAAAAAAACAGTCGAGAATTCTTGACTTGAAATGTTCAGAAATACGAGTTTTAAACCAAGAAGAGCTCTTGAAATCATAACGTCAACTAATTTAAGCATTGACCGGAAACAAAAAATATGATAGGAAATATGTAGGTCACAGGTTCAAGCCGTGTAAGTTGCCACTAATGTTTATATTAGGATAGGTTGTCCATACTGAGGTGCGGTCCTTCCCCGCACTATGCGTGAACGCAAGATGCTTTGTACGAGCACCAGGCTGTTCTTTTTCCTTATAGACTTGTAGAAAGAATCAAAGCTAAGTCCTTCCCTTTTTTCTTTTTCCAGTTCTTGTCTCATTCGAGAAAGGGAGCCTTGGAGCACTAGTAAAATTATCTTCGCGTAACCTATAAGTTACGGGTTCGAGCCGTGAAAGTAGCAACTAGTGCTTGCGTTTGGTAGGCTGTCTATATCACACACTTTGGAATGCGGTCCTTCTTCCGACGCTGCATAAATACAGAATACTTTGTGTACCGTACTGCCCCTTTCCTTCCCTCCTATCATATTCGGGCTGAGACAAGCTGTGATCATTCAAAGGATTGGTCGAGTAAGAAAGGGAAAGATCAAGTAAGTAGCATCAGTATCAGAATAGCACAAGAGAAGGAAAAAGTAATTGCAATATATAGAAGGCCCCTTTCCTTATATCTTTGTCTTCTCCATCTACTTGTTCCCTCCTCCTATGAACACTCTCATGTGAGTCTATCAAAGATCTTTTTAGATTTAATAGATGATTAGTTCATCATTTGTTCCGTTTTCTATTTTCTTTTTTGACGGGGTGTGTTAGGCAGATTCAGGATTTACACTCTACGGCTCTAACTTTAAGTTCCACAGTATTAAAATTTACTATTTATTGCAATTTTAATAAATTTTTATATTCAAATAAGGTTATGGGTCAATTGAACATGTTCCTGTTATTCTACATCCGCCGTTGGACTGTTAGGGGTGTTAATTTATGAGGAATTTTCATAAATCATTATAGTATAAATGTATGTTAAAAGTATAGCTACGAATGATAAATATATTGTAAATATTTGATGTGACGCGTAATTTTTCTTTAATTTATTGGGTCTGTTATATTCTATTTCTTTGGGAAGGGCGAGTATCGTTTGAATTTGCCGACTCCCTATCCAGGAAAAATCATTTTTTCTTAAGAGAAATTTTTGGGGATTATCCATTATTTAATGCAAATACGCTTAAGCTAATAAATATGTTATTTGTCTCTTGTAGTGATCAGTGGCGAAACAAGAAATTGATATTTAAAGAAAATAGAATGTCACACAAGGAACATGAACGGGTGACTAGAGTAATTTTTGAAACCCCTTTCCCATTTTAGTATAACTCTATCTTATGTTAAGGAAATTCAGCATGTATACCTAAAAAAAAACTTTTTTTAATCTTATTTGTACATTATAATTTTTCAACAAGAATTCAGTTAAACCCCACTCACTCTACTTAGTTCTGCCCCTGCGCAGTGCTACCTAACAAAATGATACTAGTTGGTTAGAGTTCACTTAGGGTCTCTCTGCTTAGGGTTGTAGCTAGAGGGGAGTTAAGATTTGAATTTTATGAGTTTGAAATTTTAATTTTTTAAAGTTATTGGGTTCTAAATTAATAATTTATACATATTCATGATAGATATTAAAGACAAATACAAAGTTTAAACTAATGCTACTGGATTCGGTTGAACCCGTTCCGATATCTAGCTACGCCTCTGGTTGTAGTCGGCTTAATTGGAAGCTTACCTTGGTTTCTTTATAATTTACACTTTTCTGCTCAGTCCCCATTAACTAATACGTAGTACATATTGGCTTCTATACTTTTGCTACTCCTAAGGGAAAAACCTTTCATAGTCATATGTTATTGTACGAAATAAGGTACACCTAATAATTTTAAGAAAAAGTTGAAAAAAGGCAGAAAAAATATATATATATATATCGTATGTTGCAATAAATGAACAAAAAGTTGCAAGCACATGCAAATGGACCCAATACTCATCATCGTAGAAATTTCATCTAAGTATCTAACCTCCATTCTCCCTCACCATATGCTATAAATCCCCTTTTCAAACTCTATAGCAAAACCAAAACAAAATCCCATTTCTACATTAAGCTCAAAATATGATGAAGTCTAATATGACAGGAGAAGAAATAACCAAATGGAGGGTGATCCTCAAACATTTCATTAGAAAGCTCAAGGCTCAATATCTTCAACTGATCATTCCCAATTCCAAAAGACATATTGCTATTGCAAATGCAGTGGTGTCAAATGATGTTAAAGAAGGACAGTTTGCTGTTTGTTCAGTAAATACTAAAGAGGAACCACAGAGGTTTGTAGTAGAGTTGCATTGGCTTACAAATCCATCATTCTTGAAATTACTAAAACAAGCTGAAGATGAATATGGATTTATACAAAAGGGTGCTATTGAAGTTCCTTGTCTTGCTGAGGAATTACAGAATGTTCTTCAGTTCAAGACTGAAACAAGTGTTATTGCTTTTGCAGTTTAATTATTTTATCAAGTAGTTAACTGCTATATATATATAGACATTACTATAGTTAATTGCTGGTTTCGTGGTGTAGTTGGTTATCACGTCAGTCTAACACACTGAAGGTCTCTGGTTCTAGTCCCGGTGAAGCTACTTCTTTATTTCGTAACGGGTAAAGTTGTTGTCACGTAACTAGAAGGCTTCGAGCCATGGAAAGAGCTTCTTGTATGGTTCGACCCTTCCCTGAACCCTACGCATAGTTGGAGCTAAGTTTGAGTTTGGGCGAAGCCACTTCTTTATTTGTAACTGGTAAAGTTGTTGTCATGTGACTAGGAGATCACGGGTTTGAGAGCAGAAATGCAGGACAAATCTGCATACAATAGACCCTTCAGACTCTTTCTTAAATCCCTGTATGACGGGAGCNATATATAATATTGATCATGAAACTGTCTGATTAGAACTAGTGTAGTATGTATCTACCTATCATTTTTTATTTTATATAAATAAAGTGGAGCTTCTCTTTTTCTAAAGTGGAGTTACCTCCCTTTCCCCAAATACATCCTTGAAGCTCGCGAAAAATTACTCCGAAGAAGTATTATTCTCTGATTTTACTATAGCATATATGAGTGGTAGGATACTATCTAACAAATTGAATCATATAAACATATGTGAGTATATATATATATATATGTTTCTTTTTTTTACCTGTTGGATCTTGTGTGGATGCTATCAATAATGTTCCTCTGTATGTCGATTTAATTAGAAAGGTTCCATCTACAACAACAATCGATTTGCAATACTACCATTCTTTTATAGATGGATATAGTGCAACGAAAGCATACATGAACATGTCTTCCTCTGTTTTTTTCAAACATACCACCGACATAGGATTTGTAAGAACCGGCATATAAAAGTAGCTTGGCATCTTTTATATGATTCGCTCGGGTTCCCTCTCGGTAGTTGAATTGCATATTCCTTCGATCTCCATGCTTGCATATATGTCATTTGAAGACCATACTGTTTGTTCACGTCTCCAATTATGTTATTAGGAGTGTATATTATTTTTTGGTCTTTATACTTGTCTATCAGAAGATTACCGATGAGTTTTGCAGTAGCTTGATGTTGTGCGTAAGTTCTGTCTTTCAGCGGGCATGAGTGCAGTTTGCTGAAATTTCTGACTGTGAAAAGCTTTGCTTTTTTCAGGCTCGAAGACTTAAAACACCAATCGCAATTGTTGTTGATGCAAACTAGGGGTACCTACAACAAGGATATAAACTTTTCCATCAATAAACAGAGTGACATGAAATACAATGATATATAGTGATACACACTATCATCAACAATACTAGATGAAAAAAAAATAACTATACAGTGCTACACGATGACAACCACAACTTAAAAGTGTACAACAACAGACTTACAAGCAACAACTTATTTTTTTGCATAATTATGTTTCTAAAATCAACTACGATATACATTGAGATACATAATTATACAGTAAATATTTTGATACCTGCTTTTACTTGATCTACGCACCTTAAACCGGAAATTTTTCTTTACTGCCAAGTGCTTCATGACTTTGACTATCGTAGCCTTGTCTTTATAAATTTAGCCTTTTTCTACATCTATGTATTGAGGGTCAGTTATTATTGTATTTTCATCAGATTCTGTATCCTGTCAGTCTTCTCTATCCCCAAACTCAATCATATTAATTGCATCATCATTGTACCTCTCCTGTATAACTGAGCTTGTGCACATTCTGAAGAATTACAGCAAAATTTGAATTGTAGCAGATCATGTCCATGTCCTTTTCACTCGATGTGATATAAAGGGGATACATTGTAAATTTTGAGATTTTTTTCAGCTCAAGATATGCACGTACACCCATATATATTATTGTGTATCACTATTAGTGGAGAACCCTTTTGGACAATGTATTTGATTTCAAAAACATTCAAAGAAGTATCTATCATAAGTTGTTTTGAAATCACGTCTACAAAATATTCAAAACTTATAATTGAAGTAACTATTACAGCATCAGCATTATAATCCACAAAATTGTTGTTAATATTCCATTGGCCGCCATATTGAATAAAAATTGGTAAATTTGCCATTGAAGTAGCTGAAATTAGGTCAAAACTCACTGATTCCTTGGTTGATTTTGATTGTAGTTCGTAGTTACTTCATCAAAGCTTTATCTACAGAAAAATCGCGAAAGGAAATTGTTGCTTCTACAGTGAAATTGATCGATTTTTGAGTGAAATTTGGAGCTCCTTTTGAGAATTTTTTGGGAGAGAATTCCGTGATTTACAGAATGTAAGTCTCTGTGAAATTGATACACTTGAAAAATAGGAAAGGAAGGAAGATCTTTAGCGTGATTCTCGGATGGAAGAATTCTTCCTTACCTATATCTATAATTTTCGGCTACTTTTGGTAAGTGTCTAATTTTGGGCTAGAGGTCGGTAAGTTTGAGTTTAAATTGGCTATACTTTTTCGTTTTTATTGTTTATTACCATAGATGAATTTTTCACATGCTAGACTATATTACACAAGCAAAATCTTGTATGTGTATCTCCAAATATTTTACAGATAAATACCAATTAGATCTTGATGGGATTGATATTTCAATCTTTCTTTTTAGAACATATTGATTTGACCCATATCAATATGTTCTTAAAAGAAAGATTGATATATTTATCTCATCAAGATCTAATTGGTATTTATCAATCTTTTTAGAACATATTGATTTGACCCCATATTGACAAGAGGGGTTGCTCTAGTGGTAAGCATCCTCCACTTTCAACTAAGAGGTGGAGAGTTCTTGGATAGAAGGATGCCGAGAGTTTATCGGAAGCAATCTCTCTATCCCAGGGTAAGAGTAAGGTCTGCGTACACACTACCCTTCCCAAACCCCACTAGTGGGATTATGCAGGACCAAGCATGTTCTGCCAGAACGCGTTTAATTATATAGCTAACACGTTAAGTATCCTAAAAATAATACATTCTCTCTCTTTCTTTCTTTTTTTAAAAAAAAAAAAAAAAAGTTGCTGTTGTATTCTGGTAGAGACAACAGTTGTTCATCATTCACAAGATTGGTCGTGTAAAGAAAGGGAAACATCAAGTAAGTAGCATCAGTATCAGATTAGCACAAGAGAAGGAAAAAGTAATTGCAATATTTCGGAGGCCCCTTTCCCTTATATCTTTGTCTTCTTCATCTACTTGTGCTCTCCTCCAGTGAACACTCTCATGCGAGCCATCAAAGATCTTTTTAGAATTATTAATAGATGATTAGTTCATCATTTGTTCCTTTTTATGTTATCTTTTTTGACGGGGTGTGTTAGGCAGATTCTTAGAATTTAAATTTTACGGGTTCAACCTTTAAGTTTCATAGTATTGAACTAATTATATTTTTAAAGTTATGAGTTCATATTTACTTTATGTGAATCTATTTTCTTTTTAATCCGTTTAAAAAAGAATAAATCCCTTGTAAGTTTGAAAATAATTTTAACTAAACTCTACATTATACCCCAAGTGAGAGGCTTTTAGAGTCACACAAATATTATGACATTGTTAAGATGATATATTTTAAAAGAATTATATAACACAAATATTATGGCTTGTTTAAGATCATATGTTTCAAAATTTTCATTTTTTCTTAAACTCCGTACCTAATTAAATAGGTTCACATAAATTGAAACCGATAAAGTATTAATTACAGTTTAATAAATCTTCATATACAAATTGATGCTCTACGTCAATAATTATGGATCAATTGAACCTGTTATTCTACCTCCGCCCATGATGTTAGGGGTGTTAATTTATTGTGTTTGTTCTTTTCTATTCCTTTGGGAAGGTCGTGATAAGAGATATATATATAGGAGTATCCTTTGAATCTGCCGACTCTCTCCAGAAAAAATTCATTTTTTCTTAAGAGAAACTTTTGGGGATTATCCATTATTTAATGCAAATACGCTTAAACTAATACATATGTTGTTTATATCTTGTAGTGATCAGTGGCGAAATAAGAAATTTATATTTAAAAAAAAATAGAATGTCACACAAGCAACATGAACCGGTGACCTAAAGTAATTGCTAAAACACCTTTTCCATTTTATTATAACTCTATCTTATGTTAAGGAAACTCAACATGTATACCTAAAAAAATATTTTTTATTTTATTTGTACAGTATAATTTTTCAACAAGAATTCAGTTAAACCCCGGTCTCTCTAGCTACTTTAGTTCTACCCCTGCGCAGTGCTATCTAACTGTATATAGATCGGATTGGTTCGAATTTTTCAATTATCAAACTAAACCAATGGTGTTGGATTTTCAAATTTATAAACCAAACCAAACCAAACCAACAAAGTCAGGTTTTTTTATCTCAAATTTTCTCGGTTTTTCGATCGGTTTTTTTCGGGTTAGGGTTTTTTCGGGTAAAGTCTTCATATCACAAAATATATAACTTGTGCTCCAAATATTTCTTTAGTCTTAGTAAGATACAACTATATAATGTATTTTTTAAGAAAATAAGACAATAATATGAGATAAGTCATAGCATTATACTAAAAATATTCAATAATAAAAATAATAAAATTGCATAAATCAAATATTGTTAATTAATAATAAGCCATAATGAAAATTAACATAATTTAAAAATACTATATAGGTCATGCTAATATATGTATAGCTAATAAGTACTATTAATTACATAACTAAGCACTGATGAAAATAAACTAAGTTATGTATTTTTATTATAAAATAATGTAAACCTAAAAAATAGATATCCAACATTATCGTCATTCCTAGTATTGAATTGAATTTCTTTTGTGAGCATCAGTATTAATTTAATCTTTGCTTGAGTTACCATATTTATGGGCTATAAAATTTATTTATCATTCAAGAATGTTGTTAAGTCCAAACTTGAAATAATATGTTAAAGATAATAAAACTGTAAATAAATTTAAAAATATTTATAAATTACATTACAATAAATATTTATATGTATAAAATATTTTTAAAA